GGAGCAGTAAGAATACACCCAAGATGGGAGAATGGCAAGAACCGAGTTTTTTTACCACGAGGCCTCTTTAGACTTCATCTCACACAGTTCCAGGAGTAAACAAGCCAAGCTGTCGTCGTGAAGGATCAGCAGCCAGCCTCTTATCCTTGCTTTCGAATCTTCGTCTACCCGACCAGCAACATACTGATAACATTACGAAATTCAAAGGTACCTCGGTGAGTGCTATTAGCGCTCAATGGTTTGAAGGTCCAAAAACATGACAGAGTTTGACTAATGTGTAGCAGAATTAGGCGTCTCGAGCGTCAGAAGCGTGTCTATCAAGCACGCACTACGATCAGTACGTTCTAGGTTGGATGCCACGAAGAAACCCCTAATCCGACCTTTGTATGTGTAATGCGGCCGTCCACATGTTGACACCATTAGCTGAATCAGTCAAAGGAAGAGAGCGATCATGCTCCCTTCGGGGAATGATGATTTGGCATAGTCTACACGATGGCCACTTCTGTTCCCTCATTGCTCTCGATTGGCATATTCCGTCTTCCCATCAAACAGTACAGCAAGGCTGAAAGAAAAGTCTCGATTAGGATTTGATATAAACTCTCATCGAATTCGCGTGCAAGTTTGGGCACGTTGACAAAGAACTACAGAAAAAGAAGAAAAGAACCAACTAGTACGTTCAAAAGGAAAGTAGAAGCAGACGCTCCTAGAGATACTCTCCAGCGTCAGTGCTCCTCCACCCTTCGCCCGCATATCCTCCCACGCCCGGCTTTTTGTAGTGTTACTAATATACAACTCCGACGCCTGCGAGTCTAAAACTTCAAGGAAAGGGAAAGAGAAGAGGGGACGTCCCCTGCTCTGTCTATCAATCGCCGACTTTTGCGGCTTATAGAGAGGATGAACGACGATGTGATGCGTCTCGCTTGAACAATTTCCGTCCGCCTGTCTTTTTACTCCTCAACACGCAGCGTCTCGTCCTCGAAGCCGTCGTCGCGAAGAAGCGTCTCATTGCCTTCGTCGTCGTCTTCGTCGCCGCCGTCATCATCGTAGTCCATCGTCATGTCTCCCATGGTTACGTCGCCCAGAGTCATGTCTCCATCCGCGTCGCCATTCATCCTGGATGGAGTGCCCAACCTAGAGGCGTCCATGTCCCCGCCCCTCTCATCGCCATCTTCAAGAACATTCTGCTTTCTCTTCTTTCGAGCAGGGACGACGCCAAGCGGGGGTCCTTCGTGCGCCGCCCACCTGCGTAGGCGTCTCGTAGCGCGTCGGATAGCAGCAGCATAGGAGGCTGCCTCCTCGCCAAAGTCATCGGTATCTCCCACGCTGCCAAATTTGAGCCGAAGTAGGCCAAGGGATTTGTCACCACCAGCAAACGGCTGGGAGCCATCCTCACCGTCGCTGTTCTCGAAAGGGTCTGCAAGATGCAGGTTACGCTGGTACTGGCGGTAGATGGCACCATCTTGACGTCGGGCCTTTCTGGCCTTATGGTGTTGCTTGCGGATGCCACGGTCGAGGATGTATTCGACCCTCTGATTCCTGTTCCTCTCAACTGCAATCTGGTGCGCCGTGGGCGGTCGAGGCTTTCGGGTGGGAATCCCCTCTGCTTGATGGTGGCCGGGGCCAGCTGGCGAGGAGCCTTCGAAGATTTGGTACTTGAGAGAAGCCCCGCCACGTCTAATGGTGCTTCCAAGCCCGCGGGCCAGAGCCCTTGGCGGCGGTGTCGATCTCGTACTATCCAGATCGGATTCGTGTCTCGACGGGCGGATCTTCGGTAAGATTGCTGGCCCCTCCTCGGCCATGATACGAGATGTTCGCGAACCTCGCTTGGTCTGACTGTCGGCCAGGTATGCCTGGTCCGCCTCAAGAATCTTAGCACGCATCTTCTGCTTCTCCTCTCCAAACTGGATCTCGGCGGGCGTGTCAACGTTCTCCAGCGCCTCTTCCTCCGGGGTCATGATCTCCAGCTCGGGGATGCCTTGATTGGCGACATCTACGTTGTAGTCGACACCCGAACCAAACGGGTTCTCTTCGCAACCCTCTTCCGTGAAATCGGATTCGAGATAGAACCACATAACCCAGAGGAAAGCCCTCGCACGGGATTTGCTGGTGTAGTTGGTCTTCATAACGAGATCGTGGAACTCCCGCCCAGGAGGGAAGTGCAGCTCGGCAATCTTGGCAGCCGACTGACATATCAAGAAGAGCAGGTTGACCGGGTTCGTCCTCGGAGCTTCCAAAGATTTTATCTTGTTGAGAGAGGAGGGCTCCTCCCGATCCTCAGCGCCACCCTTCAGGATGGACTTCAATCTCGGGGCGTCTTGAAGCTGTTTATAGGCGTGCGCATCTTGGTTGGCCTGCAGGGAAGGGATGGCGTGGTAGGTTCGTAATTGGGCTCGCATCTCCGGAAAAACTAGGGGTTCGTCAGCATGAGAGTCGAGTGCGGCAAACGAGGGGGATGGTCTTACAATTGAGCGTCGTGTTCATCCTTCCAATATTGACCAGCAGACAGACCATTGCCATTCCCTTGGCAGCATTCCGGTCGCTAAGCAGCTTGTCGCGCAAGACCTTGCTCGTCTTGCTGCTACGCGACATGGTGTCGATGTAGAGATCGGCAAAGTTCTGGCGGCCCTTGTCAGGGTCGTAGGAGTTGGTGAAGACCTCATTCTCGTCATCAAAGATGGCTCTGAGGAAGTCATACTGGATGTCTTTGCGCCAGAGGGGCTCGCCATCCTCCTTCTTCAGATGTCTAATCTTTCCGGTGACGACCTGAGATGAATCTTTTGACTGGCCGCCCTTTTTACCACGGCCTGAAGTCTTCTCGGTCGGCTCCGGAGTCGCATCCATCATTTGCGTATCGTCGTCTTCGGTCATTCCCTGCGAGACGAAGGATTTGCCCTCGCCAGCGCGAGGGGGAGATGTCGGGGCTTCCGCGTCCGACATGGCGCCTGCCGCAGTGGAACTGGGTGAAGCGGGCGCCATCGGGTGGAAAGGTGCGACGAGGCTGATCGATCGGTCGGGCACAGGTGATTCAGAACAGAGCCGGAAAGGTCGTGATCACTGGGGCAGCGCCGTCGGTCGGGGACACGAATGCGGAAGTCGTCGTGGCCGCGGGCGCAATTATCGAGACGCGCAGCTTTCGAAGTGGCTGGGCGAATTGATGGGGAGACGTTGCTTGGAACAAAAAAAGGCCAATCGCGAGGTTGAGGGATGGGTGAATGTGTTTGATGTGACGGAACGGAGAAAGAGAGAAAGTGTGAGCCGCGATTGGACTTTCCGCCGCCCAGACCAGCTGATCTTGAGCCGTAAGATTCCCACCAACTTGCGAGGTACCCGGGAAGACCACACTTACAGCATGCACGAGCTCACGATTTGGGGGAGCGCGTCAGGCTATCCCCCGGCCACTAAAATTCCTGGTCCAACCCCTACCTTAGTCTGCGCGAACTACGTACCTCACCAGGCCTCGCCCGCGGGCTGCAGCTGCAGCCTGCGTGGTATCCTCCTGTCTTAGCCGGGCCTCTCTACGGATTCAACTCCACCCGGTTTTCGTCACTCCAGGTGAGTACTGCGGAACGACTGGTGAGGTATTTTATTAGACTGCGATGATGCGAATAGAGTTTTCCCCCCACGTCTCTCTCAGCAAGATTAGGCCAACTGGCAGGCTATCTGTAGATACCTTGAAGCTTACATTATATTCGGAAGAAATATCTCTTTCTATCTAGATCAATGTGATGATAAAAGAAAAAAACCACCCGAGTAAGTCATCAAGGTTCAAAAGGCTGGGCAGTGGGCGTTAATAACGAGTTTCTTTTTCAGTAAACTTGCCCTCCAAGAATTGAAGTTTTGAGTCCAATGTTTCGCTGTTAATTGAGCCAGGGAGAAGACCACGATTCAAGATCCAATCCAAGTAGTTTCACCTGCTGTAATGATGTCTCCAGGCGACAAAATCCTCATATGCTGTATGTTTGAGATTCCCTCCATCTCCGCGAATCGTTTTTGGATCACGAAACGTTATTCTTTTACGTGAATGCTACAACATGGACAAGACAACATGTTTATCAGAATCTGTTTTTATTGGGACTCTCCGTCCAGACTGGCTGTCTACCTGGGGAGGCCTTGCACGGCCGCTTTGCCCCGAACCCAAGACCGAAGTCTCTGATGCCTCCAGCCCTCGGCAATCCTTTTCCCATTGCCTGAGCTGAAGACCACGTCCATGTGTGGCCATTAACCGATTAAGAGCAAGAACTTTTGTATCCCCTCCCTGTGAATCCCTATTTTGTACCGGGGAGGGCCTCTGGTTCCCGCTCTCAAAACGTCTTGTAATTATCCGTTCTGTCGACCGTCCATCCGATCCTTCCATTACCAGTCCAGTCTATGCCGCCGCCTCGTCCTGTATGTCACTGCCCTGCCCTGTTTGCCCCGGGGGCAAGCCTGTTGTGACGTTGAACCAGACGACCGAGAAATCCACTTTTGTCTATGTATGCACGGCGAAATGCATGACCCTTCTATCATCGAAAAGCGAGAAAATGCCCTTCGGGAAACGCTTGAAGAAAGCAGTAACATGAACGTCGTAATGCGTAGCAGATCCAGGATCCGTGTCGTGTATCCGTAGATCCAGCCACGCTGTAGCACACCGCATGTGGGTGTTCTTCATGCGCTCTGCCGATTCTGAAAGCTTTTCCCAATGTCGGTCTAAGGGTATCATGGAGTTTCGGTCCAGCAAAAAAAGAAATGCTCTCTATCGATGCCGATGCCTGCCCGAACACCCGATGATGCTTCTCGTTGAAAATTGAGAGGCAATACCGTCGGCTCTCGGGGCCACGCCGCCGTGTCGAAGTCCAAATGCAGAGAAACGAGAAACGACGAATGCGTACAGTGTCGACCCATGCGCGCAAATCAAAAGAAAAGGAGAAATCGAAAACTGGCAGCGTGTTGCAGACGCTGCATGGCAAAAGGCTGTGAGACTCATGTTGTCACAGCTGCCAAGTGTCGTGGTGGAAAGATGTTTACCACCAAGACGAGTTTCCGCCGGGACCGCTGGGGTTGCCGTAGCCACCACCGCCACCGTATCCGCCGCCGCCGCCGCCGGAGTAGCCACCGCCGCCGCTGAAGCCACCTCCAGGGGCACCGCCGAAACCACCACCACCGCCGCCGCCGCCGTAGCCGCCACCACCACCGCTGTTGAAGCCGCCGCCGCCGCCGCCGGGGGGACCGCCGAAGCCACCACCACCGAACTTGCGGAAGTCACGGTTAGCACCCTGGCCACCACCACGAGGACGACCACCACGGCCGCCACGGCCACCACCGTATGAAGACTCGCGGGCGATGGTCTCGAGGAAGCTGGGAACCTCCTGGTTGGCCTCCTTGAGAAGCTCGATGAGGTCACGGACGACACCACGGTTGCCACGGTTGAAGAAGGCAGTGGAGTGACCAGTGTTTCCGGCACGACCAGTACGACCAATGCGGTGGACGTAGTCGTCAATGTCGGTGGGCAAGTCGTAGTTGACCACGTGAGTGACGTTGGGAATATCGAGACCACGAGCAGCAACGGCGGTGGCAACCAGAATGGGGCAACGACCGTTGCGGAAGAACTCAAGAGCGCGCTCACGCTCACGCTGGGTGCGGTCACCGTGAATGGAGGTGGCGGGGAAGTTCTGGTTGATGAGGAAGTCGGAGAGAGAGTCGGCCATACGCTTGGTCTCGACGAAAATCAAAGTGAGACCAGCACCGTGGGTGTGGAGGATATCCAAGAGCACGGAACGCTTGTCAACGTCCTCAACGTACTCGACCTTCTGAGTGATGTTCTCAGAAGTAGAACCGACACGACCGACGGAAAGGAAGACGTAGTCCTTCAAGAAGTCGCGAGCGAGCATCTGAATGTCGCGGGGGAAGGTGGCCGAGAACATGAGAGTCTGGCGGTTCTGGACGTTGGGCATGTCCTCACCCTCGACAATGCGACGGATCTGGGGCTCGAAACCCATGTCAAGCATGCGATCGGCCTCGTCCAGCACAAGATACTTAATGTTCTGCAGGGAGATGCGACCACGCTCGATAAGGTCGACGAGACGACCGGGGGTGGCGACGAGCAGGTCACAGCCGCGCTCGATCTGGCGGAGCTGGGAGCCAATGTCGGCACCACCGTAGACGACGCAAGGGCGAACCCAGGAACGGTAGGCAAACTTGCGAGACTCATCGTAGATCTGAGAGACAAGCTCACGAGTGGGGGCGAGAATCAGAGAGGTGGGGTAAGCCTTGCGCTGACGACCGAAACCGCCAGCGGCGTTGGCGGGGATGGCAGAGGGGCCGTGGATGAAAGCCTGGGAGAGGATGGGGAAGAGGAAACCGCCAGTCTTTCCGGAACCAGTCTGGGCACAAGCCATGAGGTCACGGCCACCCATGACGATGGGGATGGAGTACTTCTGGACGGGGGTGGGCATCTTGTAGCGGGCCATCTCGATGTTGCCGATAAGGTGGTTGTCGAGAGGGGGGTTGGAGAAAGTCAGGACGGGCTCAGGGACATCGTGTCCGGAGGCCTCGACGGGAATGTCGTCGTACTTCTCGAAGTTGATACCGGTGTGCTGCTTGGACGGGTCGTCGGCAGTTCCGAAGAGCTCGCGCTCAACACGGGGGTTGGCGGGGCCGGGAATGTGCTTGCCGTCGCGCCACTGGCCATCACCGGATCCGCGAGCCTGCTGGCCACCGCCGCCGCCGGCGTTGTGACCGTAGCCACCACCGCCGCTGTAGCCTCCACGGCCACCCTCACCGCCCCAGTTGCGGCCTCCGCGAGGCTGGTAGGGCTGCTGCTGAGGAGGGGGTCCAGCAGCGGGAGGACCGCCAGGACCACCGGGACCGCCCATGGCGGGCCAGTCGCCACCGCCCTGACGAGCGTCGAAGTTCTGGTTCCTGCTTGGGAAGTGTGTTAGTTACGGAAGGCACGGCGGCCAGAAGGGGATCTCATGGAAGGGTCGACTTACCCAGCCCAAGCGCTGTTGTTCAGACCGCCGTTCATGGGAGGAGGGCCAGCAGGAGGGGGACCTCCACCACCGCCGCCACCGTTGATCTTACCACGCATGTGGGGAGGGATGTAGGAACGAGGCTGGTTCTGCTGGTCCTGAATGTTCAGGCCAGACATGTTGAGTTGATCGGCCATGATGGATGGGTTGATCGGATCGTCTGTCGAAGAAACGGGAGTTGTGTGGTGTCGACAGAAGGGTATCTCGAAAGGCGAGTCGAGTCGATTGGTCGTTACTCTCGAAAAGACTGTGGAAGGCAGCAGAGAGTAGATGAAATGAAGGGAAACCGGTCCGTTGTCGAGATGAAAACAAACAGGCAAACCGAAAGAAGGATGAAAGAGAAAGAAAAACCGAAAGTCGGGGGTGACTTCCAAACGTTCGTCTCTGTCGTCTAATTAGGCAGGCGCGTTGCGTGCTCTGGGGCACTGATTAGTTCCGAGGCCTTGTATTTCCCAAGATGCTCAAAGGAAAGACAAGAGAACAAATGCGTGAGAGGGTTTGTGGTTTGGGGGATGTGAGGATAGGAAAATCCCTTTTTGTGGTGTGGGAAGAGTTTTTGAGGGGGAGGTTGTGGGAGGGAAAAGGGACTGGAGATCGGAGGCAAGAAGTAGGGAAGAAAAAAATTGGTTTGAGATTGTGTCGGAATCCACCAGAAAAGGCCAGACACCCCTGCAACCTATGTCTGTTGGCAGTGCGTTGTGACTCTGGCAATGCACCCCCTCTGAGGAAAAAAAATTTGGGGGGCGCCTTCCTCCCTTCCACAGCCAGCAGGCAACCTGCTGGAAGGAACCTAAGGTGGTAAGGTCGGTAGAGACTGCCACCCGCACTAACGCTGCACTGGTGGGACGGGATGGAAGGTGAGTCCTACGGCATGCCTGCCTGCCTGCCTGCCTGCTTGGTTTCGCCTTCCAAGTTCCCAGGTTCTTCTTTCCCTCCTTCCACTGCGCCGACGAGGACAACCTGCCCTGCCCGCGCTCAGGCTCCAGGCTCCTGGCTCTGGCTCTCAGCCGCTACCCAGTACAGGCCGCCGCCGCCAGACGAGTGGATAAGCAACGCACCGGATTGGCCACGTTCCCCGTAGACGTAGCAGCATGTGCTTGCTCTTTGCAGCGTGGGAAGGAAATGATGACATGTGAGGTGACAGGCCACGCACTAAGTTACCTGCCACACCAACCAACGGCCCTGCAACAGAATTTTCCCTCCCCCTTTCTTTCTTGCGCTCTTTGCGCGGGCCTGAGGAGGGAGCCAATCTATTGACGGCGACGACGGGGACAACGACAACAGCGGGGATTTCGCGGAATACCGGGGTTGGAAGGACACCTGGGGCGAAGGAAACACACCTTTGGCGTATGGACGTACCTACGATGAGCACAGCGGATTGTTCCTTTTGCGGTCTCTGTGGTGGTGGTGTCACAAGGCGTTTTGTTATCGATAATCGACCTAAACGTCACGTCGATGTCGCCCCAGCCTAAGCATGAACGGGACCCTGAATCTTGAATAAAGTACGGAATGTATCCGGATTCCGATGGTGCCAGGTTTAGTCGGCTCGTGCGCTCGATCTAGTCTGGGGAAGGGCTAAAAGACGCATATCGATGATGGATGAAGACGAGCACCTAAAATCCCCTTCCTTTTCCCTTACTGTTCTCCCAAATGGCTCGGTCGCTGGAATTTCTGCTGAAGGCTGACGAAAAGTTCAAAGGCAGAGAGGTTGGTGGTGGTCTATTTGGGCCAAGGTGAGTCAAGTGACAGGGGCTAGACTAGACTGGACGGGAGCGAGAAACTAGAGACGAAGTTGGAGGTTGCAAAGTGCCCCGCAGTGAAGTCGATAATGGGGGGTTGGTGGCTAGAGTGGCGATTTGAGAAATTGGATGCTTGGGAGGCTTTTTTGGGCAAGTCCATTAACAGCATTCACAGTAAGCAAGTTGATGTGGTGTTTTCCGAGGTGTAGAGGAAGGGCCTCTTCTCGACAAACTTTACGCAGAGATGACCAAACAGACGATCCAGGCAGACGCAGGCTAAGATGAAGAAATGATCCGATTTGCTTCTGTTCCTTCTTCTTGGCCATCCCTCGAAACGACTAAACTAAGACGTTGGCTTTGACTATTTTCCAATAATCCGCCTTCTTGGAACACTGAGCTAGGCTATCCAGATAGCTGAGACCATGGGCAGCACCCCCACCCTCAGTCGAAAAGACAAGCGGATGCTCAACACCGGAACATGGAAACTCAATCTGGAGGTTCAACCAACCACTACCACGCCATAACTTAGGTTTTTGGGTTTTGCACTCGCATTCCAGAAACCCAGACATGGCATAGGAAGCCCCCGACTGCAAGTGCTTTCTATGAGAAATTCTGAGCAGCAAGGCACTATCTCACCTACGTCATCTCCTGGGTCCTTGCACTCGCATGGCCCCTAACACATCCCACGTCCTCCACTCCGAAAACCGACCCCGTTGAATTCCAGTTGTCTGGCCGGACACTCACCCAACCACGCCACTCCCAGGGCAAAACTTCCCTCCGCCAGGGTCGCGGCATGAAAAATACAGAACCCGAGAAATCCCAACCACCATTCGCATTTCATTGTCTGATGCATCGGCACCGCCGAGCTGCCCGTTGCGACCAATAAAGAAACGCGCATTTACTTTCATACTAGTCAGCTTCACAAGGAATTTGTTGCTCAGAGGGCAGGACGACCGAGTCAACATCCGGCCTAGTCCAGACGGTCGGGTACGTATCGCCGGTACTGATTCGACCGGCCGGCCGGCATGCCGTCCTAATCCTCCCAACTCTTGAGACGCCCGAGATGATGGGATGAAGCCAAACATGTTGTCGGATCACACCTAAAATTACACATACCACACATACGCCGGGCAAGAAACGAACGATTCGAGAAGCGAAAAGGAAAAAAGTACGGCCAAACAGCCGGTCTGGCTGGTGCTGGCACCGCTTGGTGCCCTCCTTCCACGTTTCAAACGCCCGTTATCCCTGTTTATGCTGCAAAACCGTGACCTCACCGCTTGCCCCTCGACCCCGACTCAGCGCTTTTCAAACGCTGATACAGCGAAAATCACACCGCTGTCAGGCAAAGTTAAATCCGAGCGTCGGAACCGTGTGCCTTGCTGTAGAAAAGACGAGGCACCACATCCAGGCCTTTTCACACAATACGGTCTCGCAGGATATGTATTTTCGAACGCATGCTGGCTATATCCCAGGTCAACTGGACGGTCTCGCCAACTGAACCGGTTAGAAAGCCTCAGCAAGTTGCATCACTCAGACACCTCGCTTCTCATGATAGAACTGATGCCTGTATCAATTACCAGCCTGGTCTAGTACAGTTGTTGCTGGCAAGGCCTCTTGGTGCTCCTTGCACGTCATCAAAAAAGGGCCCGTTTTTCATCACTCATCCGCCTCCTGCTTCGCTCAAGGAGCCTTCACCACCTTGTCATCGTCGAATTCTATGTCCACGATGCCGTCCTTGGTGACGGCCTTGACCACCATGCCCTTGAAGTCAATCGGTAACCGTCTCTTGAGCTCATCCGTGCACATGTTCAAGATCTTGATGCCCTGGCCGAGTGTGATGTCGGGGTGGTGGTGCTTATCGAGGATGGACAGACAGTAGTATCTATATCATCGTCAGCTTTCGTCGTTTCGCCTCCGAGAATCATGCTCCGCTCGCGGTAGATATGGAGCTCCCTGGGCAAACGTACTGTGCGTAGCCGTGAGCGGCATATGGCACCGGCGCCAGCGAGGCGAGGTAGTCCAGCCAGTACAGCGCAGGCTTCTGTGTGATGGGGTCGACGCCGCCCAGGAGGAGGTTGACGTTGTAGGGCTTGCGCGAACGCAAGCTCGAAGCGAGCTCGCCGCGGATGAAGTTGGCCAGGCCGGAAGGTGAGAGGTCCGTCTCGTTACGCATCGAGTAGAGCTGGGAGTTTGCTTGAATGTAGTCGGCGAATTGCACTATAGTCACCCTCACGTTAGCATCCATCCCGCCGTCGTGAGGATGAAGCTTCCCGCTCCGAACTGGGTAGGAGGGGAAGCTCGGTGGGGCACAGCAGCTACTAACCAGTGTCACCCGCCTCGCCAGAGTACGCGATCAGTGTGTGCTTGTTGAGAGGTCTCGTCTTGTCGTCGGCGACCTTGAGGACGGTAGCGCCTCTCATGGCAGCTTTGGAAGCTGCAATGATGGTGAAGTCCTTGCCCGTGATACCGAGTAACACCTCCCTGCCCGACGCAATTCACATTAGCCATTGCATCCATGAAAACCAACGAGAAGCTGTAGGGAAGGAAATCTTACATGTTGGCTGCTGTTTCTGTGTCTGCTTCGTGGTTGGAGGGGTGGAAGGTTGTTGTTTGGTTTGTTCGGTCGTTGGGTATGGGTCGTCGTCTCGTCAGCCTTCTACCTGGTGGCTACGTCGAGCTACCCCCCGGAACGCGCAGTCAAGCTACAGCCTGAACGCACCAGCCGATAGCGGAATTCTGCCGAATCAGACCGCCGCCCGCCTCCGAGCCCGGAAAAACCACCCCTGCCGCATCTCACTCAATTGGCCCAAGCGACCCCACATTGACATCTGATTCTCCGAAATACGTACCCGTCCAGAACTTTTTTTTTTCCTGGACAGGATGCCCACCTAAAAAAAAGTTCACCGAGAAGGCAGCCCAGGCGAAGACGGGAGCAATTCGCCCAGATACCCCCTTAGAGGTCACCCGACCGCGTGCCCAACATGTCCTCCTTCTTCACAATCCCCGGATCGAACAAGAAGCGCAAGAGGACAGCCGCCCCCGAGGCTCCCAAGAAGCGAATCGCAGCCTCCAAGACCGCGAACAACAGGGCCCCTCCAAAAGCAGCAGCAGCCAAAGGCAAGACCGGCGCGGCGAAAGGCGCGAAATCAGCAGCACCCGCCTCCAAGAAGCGAACTGAGCGTGACGACGACGACGAATCCATCTCGGGTAGCGACTCGGACGATGAGAGCATAGTCAGCGCCGGCCCCGAAGAGAGCAATGGCTCCGACGACGACGACGACGAGGTGCCCGGCGAGACGGCCGCTGAGCGCCGCCTGAGGCTGGCCGAGCAGTACCTCGAGAACGTCAAGGAGCAGGTGGACCTTGCGGGCTTCGATGCCGCCGAGATTGACCGCGACCTGATCAACGAGCGCTTACAAGAGGACGTGGCCGAGTCCAAGGGAAAAGTCTACCGCCAGCTCGCGGACGAGCTTGCCTTTGGCAACGCGACCTCTTCCTTCTTCAAGAACAACACCGAGACCTTTACCTCCGTCGCCGTCAACTTCCCCTACGCCTACACCACCACCAAGGATCTGTACGTACACAAATGGAGGATACAAGACCTGCCGAAGAACCAGTTCCAACAGACCACGCGCAAGAAGCCCAAGAAGCCGCCCGCGCCGCCGCGCAAGCGACCCGAGCTGCAGACATGGTTGAGGGGCAACATCAATGCCGCCAGGAACAAGTCATTCCAGCGTCACGTGGAGAAGATCCTCTGCGTCGCCGCCTCGCCTGACGGCAAGTACGTCGTCACCGGCGGCGAGGACCGCAGGCTCATCATCTACGACGCCGAAACCCTCAAGCCCATCCGCGTTTTCACCCACCACCGCGACGCCGTTACTGGTCTTGCTTTCCGTCGCGGCACAAATCAACTGTACTCCTGCTCAAGAGACCGTACCGTCAAGGTCTGGAGCTTAGACGAGCTCGCGTACATCGAGACGCTGTTCGGACACCAAGACGAGATCGTCGACATTGACGCCCTCGCCCAAGAACGCTGCGTCAGTGTGGGCGCGCGTGACCGCACAGCACGTCTGTGGAAGGTTGCGGAAGAGACACAGCTCGTCTTCCGCGGTGGTGCAGTAGACAAGAAATCCCGTCCAGACGTTGATCCGCGCTCGCTTCCTCATGAGGGCAGCATGGACCGTGTAGCCATGATCGACGACGAGCTCTTCGTCACCGGCAGCGACAACGGCTCGTTGGCGCTCTGGGGCGTGACCAAGAAGAAGCCTATTTTCATCCTCCCCATGGCCCACGGCCTGGAAGAACCCCTCCGCCCTGACGAAATCTCGGCGGACCACAACCCAGACTCGAGCCTCGTACCGCCGCCTCAGCCGCGGTGGATCACAGCGCTCAAGACGATTCCCTACTCAGATGTCATTCTCAGTGGAAGCTGGGACGGTTGCATAAGAGTGTGGCGGCTAAGCGAAGATAAGAGAAAGATCGAAGCGGCGGGTGTTCTCACATCAGAGGCTGAGCGAGCCTCAAAATCTGCGCCCAACACCAAGTCAGATGTCTGCGGCCTGAAGGGCGTGATTAACGATATTGCCATCTTTGAGCGCGGTGACCGTGGCCAAGACGGTGTTTGCGTTGTCGCTGCAGTTGGAAAGGAGCATAGGTTGGGCAGGTGGCAGATGAAGAAAGGCAAGGGGAAGAACGGTGGTTACGTGTTTGAAGTGCCGAGGGTGGTGAAAAAGCCAGAGGTAAACGGCAACCATAATGATGCATCAGATTCGGGAAGCGATTAAAAGTTAGACGTGTTTATATATCCCTGGGGGAGAGGGAAGGAGCTGGGACGTTTGCATAGAGGATCTTGTACCACAATGTACGATCTACGAGATGAGCCTCTACTCTCCATCAAGGCCATGGAAAATCGCAGCCACTCTTCGAGAACTTCATTCAATTCTTTCCGGCCCCCTGTTGACGCCATGCTATAACTCTATGGGTATGGATATCAAGGCTTCCTATGCTATGGGACCATGCGCTACCTCAACAACGCCTCGCCAACCAATCAATCGGCGAAAGGCAAAAAGATCAAATCTACTTGATCGGTTGTTCCAACCGTTCGAATGCCTGCCAAAGCTCATTATGTCTCCTTCGCTTCAGCCACAACTGGCTACTCATCGCTAAATTCATCATCATGCGTATCTTGAAGCACACCCTAGTCGGTGAGGTCTACAGTCACAGTCTGGCTGGACTTGAAACCATTGTTGCCGGGTGACTTGTGGTAAAGCCCCTCATCCTCAATGCTAGGTATGGGTTGAGTCGAAATGGGTTGAGGTATTTCCTCGATACTCAGTTGTCTAGGCTTAGTCGCTGAAGGCGGCGACTTGACAGGAGGCGCGAAATAGGGGCTCGTTAGTGTGGGCGCCTGCATGAGGGTCTGGAGATCCTTCTGTTTCGGCGTTGATCGGTCTTTGTGCGTGCTTGGGCGTTCGGCCGTGTGGGTGAGATTCTGTACTGGTGTTTTTTTGGACGGCGAATCCTGCGATTCACTTAGAAGCTGCTGGGTTGGGGTCGGACTTTTTTCGGTTGGCCTAGAAGCACGCCGCTCAGTGCGGATAGGCATGGGATGAGTCTTGGACGGTGATGATATCTGGTTCATGATCTCCTCTGCCGGACTAAAGCCTGGTTTCCTCAGTCGTTTTTCAGCTGACCCCGCCTTCGAGGTTGCCGAAGGCGAAGCAGCAGGAGCCTCGTCGGCGGTTTGCATCTTGTCAACTTGACCATTCGTTTTGCCTTTATTGAAGCGAGGGCTGGTTCTCTGCTGAGGTGGGGAAGAATTGACCTTTGCGGGCGGCTCAGACCTGGGCGGCGTTTTCGGCCGTTCAGAAATTTTCGACGCGACAGGCTGCAGCTCTTCCGGGGTCTTGGCTATGCCGACTTCAGACCCAGATGGCTCTTGAGGTACAGTATCGTGCACAGGTGGTGCTTCGCCATTGGTTTCCCTCTTGACGGGAGAGCTGCTGCCATCCATTGAAGGGATTGAAGGGATCGCAGGGGACCCTTTGATAGTAGAAGACGGCTTCTTGGGCGCGTCTCCAGCTGAAACGGGAGTCCTTGGTGTCGAGGGCACGCCACTTGGCTCCTCCGATGACTTGCTTGAAATGGGTGCCTTTGGTGTTTTGCGCTTGGCCTTCTTTTCCGCAGCAAGCAAAGCGAAACGTCGGTTTTGTTCTTCTCGTTGCTCGATAATAATGCTGCGCAACTCGCTTCGCATTGCGATAGACGTGATATCCCAATTCATTTCCTCCTTGCGCACAATGCGACCAACGGTGTCATCCGGAGCCTTCAAGAATTCTCGCAAGTAGCCCAGCAGAAAAGCACCGCAGCTTGCATGATCGAGTTGCTCGGGGATATTCTTCGCAGTCATGCCAAATTGGCCCGGAGCCTCGATTTCCAGGTTTTTCTTGTCTTTGGCTTCACGGACAAGATACTCTTTCAGGTTTCCGCAAGTCGCTGAGTGTCCAACACCGAGCGAATCCAGAGTGATGACTCTGGCCTCAGAGGGGTCCTTCTTGCGAGGTAGAGCCCCTGTACTTTTCCGGGGCAACTGCGACTTGACAGGCGATGCTTTCGGTTCAACGAGCACGACCGTGTTCTTATTTTCAGTCGCAGGATCGTCTAAACTAATATGTTCCACCTGTTCTCCGACCGCAGAGACTAAAGCCTCTTTCTGTGCAACCTGGGGCGGTTCTTTATCAACCTCCTGTACCTCTTGGGCTTTGATAAGTTTGGACGGGTGACAAATGATGGCGAGGTACCAATGCGCTTGTTCATTGACGGGAACGACGATATAATCGTAAGAGAAAAGATCGACTTTCGTCGTCCATGATCTGACGCCTTCATAGTTGATCCCTCGGCCCGACTTTTCTGTGAGCTTCGGGTAGAAGTAGGTGTTCATGAAATATATCCTGTCGTGGGTCTGCTTATTCTCCTTTTCGAGTTTGACCTGGAGATACTTCATGTAGAACCAGATGAGATTGTCGTTCATGAATTGGCCCTCGTCAAGTCTGAGAATATCATCTCTGATGACAGTCGCTTTGTGTTTTCCGAATTCTGGGTAAAGGAGTGGCTTGTCGTCGTCCCAAATCTTTTTCCATTCTTTATTTTCCTCCGTCCACAGCACTGGACTAGGCGACCGTGGTGCCAAAATGCTTGGCTTTGGCTCAGTTGTACGTCGGGCAGCCGCTTCTCTAGTCTGTCTTTGCGGCAAGTCTCGAGTCCGTCGGGGCTCGGCATTGGCATCTTTCTCACCAGCAAGTGTAAAGAAAGAAGACGTTCTTGGGGTTTTGCTGGGTGTAGACGCAGGATCGCCCGTGTTCATACTACTTCTGAGCGGTTTGCCGGATTGATATGACACATCTTGATGAGCGGAGTTTGGACGAGAGCTGGTTCGCGGCGTAGAGTTGTGAATGTCGCCGTCCTTGCTTGCTTTCTTCGACTCAAGATATCTGATGTCGTCTGGCTTTGATGTCCAAGAAGCTGGCTTGTATTCGACGGCGTTTTTCCATTGTTTGTCAAAGACTTTCTGAAGTTGGTGGCTAAGCCTAGTCAGCGGTGATGGCTTGAGACGAAGGTGCGTAGATCAACTTACCTATCTGCTGGTTCACACAGTACTTTGAGATTGCGCAACCCCCCGGCTACCCCCTCAACCCAGTTTCCAAACCGAAGTGCATCGTTGTTCGCGGCAAATTCCAACACCAGAAGGCCTGCAGCTTCCCCACTTGAAGATCTTGAAATACTTGCTAGTGGGGTCGCAGTTGTTGCGTAGGCAATCCTTTGACAGAAGTTCACTTTCACCTCGATCCAATGGAAGAGGTCAGTTCGTTTACCGTCACGTCCACATGCGAGAAGATGTTTCTTGTCATCTAGAACCTGGAGGTGTGGCTGTTCTTCATGAGGTAAGTCATCGACGACGAGTATATGTTTGCCAGAGACAGCTCGCTTCAGCTTAAAAATTACCGCGTCAGGCTTCTGCTTTTTGAACTCAACACGGGACATGTCGGCCTTGGCCAGCCGGCTTTGGGACGTCGTCGGCGACGGCTTCTCGTCGTCCGAAATAGGGTCAACGTCGAAAACCTGGCGCTTCTTGGCAGAGCCAGCTTCGGAGGCGAGTTCGTCGATTTTATGGAGATCGCTGTCCGAAATTCCTTCTGAGGCATCCCGTGACCCCTTCAGAGGTGTCATCTTGAAAGGTACCATCTTGCCAACATTTCGCTTCTTCACTGCCGGCATATCCTGTGAGATCTCGTCCTCCTCGCCGTCGATGTCCAACGGTTGAACCTTGGAGGCCGGCGACTTGTTGGCCGACCTTTTGCGTGTCCGGGTGTTTTTCCTTGGAACGCTGTTGTTCCTCTGTACATTGCGGTATTCTTCAACCTGGAAAACTGGCTGCTGAGTCGAGCGGTTGCTAGCGGCGTCGACGTCAGGTTTCGTCAAATCTACAGCCGATGAGGACCTGATCGACCGGGCTGGCGATGGAGAAGGAGGAGGAGCGAACGTTGAGCTTGTGTACGCGGCAGCGGATGAGGCTTCATCTTTCGTCTTCTGGCGCTTCGCAGACCTAGGGGGTTCGTTGTTTGTCGTCGTAGAGTAGCTTGGCCTCTTGTTCTGACCCCCAGTTCCCGGGTCGAAGGTTTTCTTAGGGGCAAAAGAACCACTCAAGAGCCCCTTCAATCTGTTGCTCTTCGCACTCTGTCCTAGCATTAGCTAGGCTCGTCTTTCTTCTGCCCGTGGACCTTACCATTGGGTCTGAAATGGGAACTCCGTCCTTTGGATTCCTACAAGAGCCATGGTCAGTGACATGGTTTATGACGGCGCATGAAGTCGTAGTGTACCCGTATGCAGGGAACGAATGGTTCTCGGGATCTCGGTATCGTTCTCGTAGCTGCTCAGCCCTGCAACCCGTTTGTCAGTGGTGAACCCGGAGAACCTGTCTGGCGCAAACGCATACGTGATGGTATTCCTCCTCGCAGATCTTCGCCTGATAGTGGACCCGGCGACACCGTCCTTGCCGCACGTCTTGCCTCCGCCTTGGGATCCTTTCTCTTCCTCTGCCTCATGCGCGGGCTTTTCTCGACCTAGCTCCTCTAGGGCTCTGGGGAAGGTCAGTCTCGTGCCGGTAGCTGGTAAGGAATGCGAGCGGGCATTTGAGGTTGGCGTGGACGACAAGGAGTGAGGAGCTGCGTACTTTTGAGCCGTTTCATCGCAGGAATGCGGCGAGGTCTTGAGATAAGAAGGTGCGTGGTCGGCAGGCGGTGTCGTTCTGTGTTCCTTCTTCATTCACGAAAGTCGGTTAGTAGTGGGGTCTGCGCAGACAAAAAGGTGCGGTTTGCCCTGCAACTCGGGTCGAAATTTTGAGGTGGAAGGGTGCCACATGTACAGCTAACAGGGCGAGGGGTCCGCTGACACGCGCTGGCCACAGCGGATTGGTAGGCAGGTAGCCTTGTGGCAGGCCTGTGCTGGCGATAACGGGCAGGTTTGGCAGGTTCCACTCAATTAAACCAGCGCGTCGGGCGCGTCACCCGCTGCGAAGGCACTTGCCACTTCCAGACAGTCCACCCACTCCTTCTCTCATTCTAGCCGCTTGGCTTCGAAGGCATGAGATTAGATGACTGGCAACAAAATGAACGATCGTTTTCAGACTGACCTCTCTGCCATGGTCTCTTGCCTGGGCCATGGTTTCCTTTTCTACAGATGCCACGGTAGGTTGTTGCCAGAAGTGTGGCATTTGGGAGGTGCGAGTGAAGGCTGCTGCTAGTCGAAGTGGATTGTCCAAGATGAATTGAAAACATGCTTGATGTGGGAAGGCAGCTAGTTGCAGCAGAATGGGCAGGATAGAAGCAGAAGACTAGATGAGAGGGTCAAACAGGAAGTCATGCGAATCTCTTGAGATGTAGTTGAGCGTCTGATTCTTTCACGGCAGCCCACACTCGAGAAGAGAGGGGAAAGGGCCAAACGAAAGCAAAGCCTCTTGGAGAAGTCATATGAGAGGCGTGGGGGATGGACAGATGGATTGACAAGGGAGCTTGCAAATGGATCTGCTTCAGCCCTTCTTCCCTTGACACGATCACCTCAAAGTGACGAAGCAAAAATGACAGGAGTCCTTTTGCGAGGAACAAAAGAAGGTGTGTCGCTGACAAGGCTTGCATTCTACGCGGCACTTCCTCGCTCAAGAATGTCAAGACCAACCTTCAACTGACATTCGAACGAGACATCTGCTGGCATCGAGCTTCCCCGGGTGCCGGCAAGGATCCACTGGAGAACTAGGATCCACAGTCCGCACCACCGGTTCGGCTCTTACATTTCCACCTTGGTACGTACCCAAGCTTAGGTACAGGGCACTTTAGCTCAGGTCTTCAACCTTGCGCTGATACCTAGGTAAGGTAGCTTTGCAGCCAATAGGTCCCTGGCGCAGACCACACCCGCTGAAGCCACATGTCTCCGCAAGGCTGAAGCTTCCGCAAAACGTGGCCTAAGAAGGAGTTTGTAGTTGCGGGCAAAACCAACTCTCACACTCTTCTCTTTCATGCAACGCAGCTAAACACCAGCCCGCCCTTCCCTACGATCGCCGCGCTCCAGCCGGCCCCGATCCCTCCCAAAATGTACAACACCATAACCCGCGCCCAGAACGCATTTGGCTTCTTCACAACAGTAGCCTTCTTCGTCGCCGCCTTCATCGCCGCGACGGACCTCATCACCCCGCGCGCGCCCTCCTCTGGCGAGATCAAGACCACGAACGTTCAGGTCGTCAAGGGCCGCCCCCACTACTACAGCAGTAAGAAGGAGGAGTACGCCATCATCAAGTTCTCCCTCGACGCCGACCTCTCGGACCTCTTCACCTGGAACACCAAGCAGGTCTTCGTCTACGTAACAGCGGAATGGCCCGACAACTCTAAGAAGAACGCCATCCCCGGCGTCAACGTGACCAACCAGGCCGTCATTTGGGACCAGATCATCACCGCCCCTAGCTCCGACCACCTCGCCAACATTGGCCCTGCTGCCATGCGCAAGCTGAAGAAGAGCGCCGAGGGCAAGAGCATCGACCCCAGCCGGTAAGTACACTGTTTCGGAGCTGCTTCAACGAGAGGGCGCGTTCTAACAAACGTACAGTGGCAAGCTCAAGATCAAGAACCAGAAGCCCAAGTACCAAATCACCCACCCCTCGGGCAAGATCGCCGAAGCCGACAAGGTCGTTTTGAAGCTTCACTACAACGTTCAACCCTGGGTCGGCATCTTGACGTGGAACCAAAACCAGGACCTCGGATACTGGAAGGCGCTCAAGGGTGGTGTTAGCAAGGCTTTCAAGCTTCCTGCTCTGAAGGTCAAGGAGAAGAAGCCGTAAGAGGAGCGGCTGCAGATATCACGTATTCTAAATGGTTTTTTTTTCCTTTTCACTCATCAAATCGTGCCTGTCTGAAGTTCATTTATCATGACGTGACAATAGTGTTGGTCGCAACACAATGTTGCAGGATGCATTGATCTTGTGAACTGACTGTTGTACACAATGCTACCCTCTTCCACATCGCTACAGCCAACATCTCGGCAACTTGGAGGTAACCAACCGTCGCTGGAGGACATCATCTTTATGCCTATATTCCGTATCATGCCTGTCTTCGTTCTATCCATGTGCCTTCTTTTAGAGACCAACACCTTCTATCAGAAAATGATGTCGCCTTGGGCCGGCGTTTTCGGCAGCGGGACTTGTCTCGGGAGATTCGATGGACGTCCTAAGATTCCGGCGCTCCGGCTCCATTGCCACCACGGCCGCGAGGACCGCCCCTACCCCTTCCGCCACGTCCACGCCCGCGTCCTCTGCCTCTAGCATCAAGGTTGGCAGGAGGTGGGACGTTGGAATACATCGGTTGCTGCGGCGTCTCATGAAGTCCTGAGTGTCCAGGGTGTTGGACAGGTCCACCACGTCCACGGCCGCGACCTCTGCCGTTCGGGTTTCCTCCACCGCGATGACCATGACCATTAACTTCATGACCCTCTCCCGCACCATTGGCAGGACGGTAGACCAGGTTGCTGTGCAGCAAGTTGGGCGCACCGCCGCGACCGCGACCGCGACCAGAGTGGCCGGGACTGCCATTAACAGCACCGCGCCAACCACCTGCGAGGGGCCCAGGAGCAGGGGCATCCTTGTACTGAACAACACCAGCTGCACCAGTGGTGAGCGATGAAGATACAGGAGGTGCTGGCCGGCGCAAGTTTCCGGCCTTTGAACCAGAAACAACTTGCTTGTGTGTAGTGTTGAGTACTGACGAAGAGTAGACAGTCATACCGCGGAAAGGCGGGCATCTGTCACCCAGTGTCGTACCGCTCATAAAAGTCAAATCCCAGACGACATCAAGGAGTACATGATTGGCGGTGCGGCTTAAGCCAACGACTGTTCCGCGACTTCCCAAGGGCACCTTGCCAGAAGAGGACAGAAAGCTGACACGGTCGCCGAGCGCAAATCTCTGATTGCTCAGGAAGAGCTCGGCGTCGCTGGGCTTCATGATGGCTGACCGCGGGACGCCCTTCATGTTCTTCACCTCAACCTCATGGGAGTTGGTGAAAACGTTCGCACCCTCCTCAGCAAGACGCATCACCACGACAGAATCCAGTTGCTCGGCATCCAAAGGAACCCTCTCAAACTTGCTCGTCTGAGCTGACTTCAACCAGGCACCAATCTCCTTCACGCGCGCAGCGGCAACCTTGGGATCCTTCCAGAGATCAGTGTCGCTGACGTCGCTTGACTGGGGGTTCTGCTGGATGGCTGCGAAGAAGTCGGGGAAGGCAGCAATGTATCTGGCCAAAAGTTCAATGGCAGCGTTACTGAACTCCCATCCAGAGTCTGATTTCTGGGAGTAGCCCAAGACCTTCTGCTTCTTCGCATCGAACTTGAGGTTAAGTCCCAGGTTGACTCTGAGACCGCCAACCGTGTTGATCTGATAGGATGACAAGATTTTGCTCAGAATCAAGGGATGAAGATTCAGCATCTTGGCAACGGCATACGATGGAGTGTACCGGTTCTGGCGCTTCATATCTTGAATGATCGGCTTTGCGAAGTCTGGCTCTTTGTTCTTGAGGGCCAAGACTCTGATGTTCGCCTTGTTGTTAGCATGCCCAGTGACCTCGAGAGCTCGTCCGTACTGGAATTCGCCCAAGAAGAAAGCCTGAGTACCGACTGGGTACTCTTCTTCAATGGGGACGGCAGCCTTCTCAATGAAACGTTCATCCTCGTTGACGACCTCGTCGACAATTGTCTGGGACGCGTAGATGCTCCTCATGCTGGGATTCTCAGCGTACTCCTTGATCAGAGCACCCTCCTCGGTCTTGATCAAGCCCTTGAGCATGTGAACTTGGACAAGGGACTCGACGGTGCCAATGGTGAACCCGAGACGTTTTGCGTGCCAATTCTCGATATACGCGGCTTCTTTGGACCATTCCCTAATCTCCCTATCGCCGTGATGACGTGTAATCACGGAACCATCGCGACCATCAAGCTCATAGTCGAAGAGCTCGTCGGAGACCTTCACGATCTTCGCTTCCTGCAAGAAAGGATAACCAACGAAGCAACGCTTTCCAAGCTTGGCCTTGGCCACTTCAGCCTTCGTTCTCATTTCTGAATCAGTGAGGGTAATGATCATGCTGGGGTTCTTGCTGTCTGCTTGGAAAACGTTGACACCGTAGTGCTCAACTAACATCGCTGTGTAGGGGAGGTTGTGCAGCGTAGGGAATCCTGCCAGGGCATCGATGTTGATTTTGGCGCCCTCAACAAGACCCTTGCGGAAGTTCAATCCTTCAGTGTTCGGCAGTTCAAATATGTTCTCGATGCAATGGCAGGGGCTGATCTCAGGGAACACGCCCACAAGAGATGACGGATAGGTGTACGCAACCTCGGGGTTATACGTGAACTTGAGAGCAACACCGAAGCCATTTCTTGACTTCTCCTGCTGGCTGAGTTGATCATTCTTTGTCGCCATGGCACTAAGAAGACGCTTCTCGTCGATGAAGGGAATTTTCACAATGGCTTCCCATTCCATCTTCTTTCCGTTCATGTCGAGCTCAAAGTCTCGGGGGTAGAAATCGTAGATGGGGGAGTTAGGATTGGTCATGAGATCCCAGTAGACTTCAGGAACGATAGACTTGCTTCGGTCAGGCAAGACACCCATCAGCTGCTCGTACGGTCTGAACGGTTGACCCAGGGTGAACTTCAGGTCCGCTCCGAGACCCTTCACAACATCTGTATTGATATTTAGTCTTGTTCTTTCTTGGCAGATATGATTTTGACTTAC